GTTCGACCAGGTACGACGACGAGAACCACACGCTGTTCAGGGACCTCGACACGACGTACCTCCACGACTTCATGCAGAACAACTACAAGCACGCCTCCCTGCAGCGCGGCGGCCCGCGGGAGCCATGGCACGACGTGCACTGCACATTGGAAGGTCCCGCGGCGTGGGACGTGCTCACCAACTTTGAGCAGCGGTGGAGGAAGCAGGCGCCGGAGAACATACGCGGCTGCCTGCTGGATCTGAGCCCGGCGACGTTCCCCGACCCCATCAGCAACGACCCGTGGAACGTGCAGGTGTTCCGGTCCATCGACGACGCGTCGGTCGTGGGGTTCCCCTCCGACCCGGCCGAGGCCGCCGCGATGGGGCTGACGAGCGGCAAGGACGTCACGGTGGACCGCAGCATACAGATCGGCTACGTCGAGGCCGTCCGGCGCGCGCGGCGGTTCATCTACATCGAGAACCAGTACTTCCTCGGCGGGTGCGCGTCGTGGGCGGAGGACAGGGACGCCGGGTGCCTGAACCTGGTTCCCGTCGAGATCGCGCTCAAGGTCGCCGCCAAGATCCGGCGCGGCGAGCGGTTCGCGGTGTACGTCGTGACGCCGATGTGGCCCGAGGGCGTGCCGGCGGGTGAGGCCGTGCAGGCCATCCTGCTCTGGAACAGGCGCACCGTGGAGATGATGTACGGCATCGTCGCCAAGGCCATCGACGACGCCGGGTTGCGCGGCCAGGCGCACCCCTGCGACTACCTCAACTTCTTCTGCCTCGGGAACCGGGAGGCGCCGCTCCCCGGCGAGTACTCGCCGCCGGAGACGCCGGAGGAGGACACGGACTACTGGCGCGCGCAGGTGAACCGCCGCGGCCCCATCTACGTGCACGCCAAGCTCATGATCGGTACGCGCTCTCTACAACGTCTCCTGCGTTGTCAGTTGTCACCTTGGACCTCGCAGCCTCATCTCACTGTCTCGTTGGTGACGCACTGTTGCGCGCAGTGGACGACGAGTATGTCATGGTCGGCTCGGCGAACCTGAACGAGCGGTCGCTAGCCGGCAACCGGGACAGCGAGATCGCGCAGGGGAGCTACCAACCGGCGCACCTGAACGGGGCGTGCGGGCGGGCGCGAGGGCAGGTGCACGGGTTCAGGATGTCGCTGTGGCACGAGCATTTCATCATGGGCCGCCATGCCAGTGAGGACGCCGACGACGGAGCCTTGTTCCTGGAGCCAGAGAGCTTGGAGTGCGTACGCGCCGTGCGGCGAGCGGCGGAGAGGCTGTGGGATTCGTACACGCAGGACAGGGTGGAGGACCTGCCGGGGCACCTGCTCCCGTTCCCGATCACCGTGTCGGAGTTTGGCGAGGTGGATGACCTGCCGGCCGACGGGTGCTTCCCGGACACGAGGGCGCCGGTGAGGGGGAGGAAAGCGGTGAAGCTCCCGGACATCCTGACAACCTGATATGCTTGTTTAATTTACTTGTACGGTTATGTCAGTTGTAAGGGCACTCGTGAAGAGTGTTTCTATGTTCATTAGCTATAGCATATACTAACTATATGCCATTAGAATTAAGAAAGAGAGGATAAAATAGTTTATTAAATAAGAAACTATGCCTACCCGCGAACCAAAATACAAAGAGACGTGATATGAGAAAGAGAGAAACAGCGAACACTCACCCAAAAGCAATGAAGCGAACAATTTTCAGATATACTATTTTTAGAAAAAAAAATATATTCCAACTCTTTTCCTTTTTAGCAGCCACTCAACCAAACAGGCAAACAGCCAATGAACTCCACGCGCGCAGCACTTGGTACCGCGCCTCCCCCCTCCTTGCTTTTTCAGGAAGTGCTGACATCATCAAAAATAAAAAAAAGTTTATTTCAAAATATTATAAGTTCTTAATGGTGTATTTGTTTGTAATTCGGTCTGCACCGTTATTTTCTACGTGACGAGTCGAACAAAACTAGATCCCACTTGCATATGTTTCGAAGAATTTTTTTCGAGTACTAATTTCTGTATATTAATTTATAACATATAACTTATACCATAAAGCTTATAAAATATACTTATACCATAAAATTTGTAACATATAACTTATCTCAAAGCTTGGAAACACAAAAGTTATGAAACAAATCTTATGAAAAGTTACTAAACACAAAGGAACAATTAACTTATAACTTATGTCAAAACTTAAAAACATAAAAGTTATTAAACATAAAGGAATAAATTAACTAATAACTTATGCTAAAACATGGAAACACAAAAGCTATGGAACACAACTTATGTACAAAAATTATCAAACATAACTTGTGCACATAAGTTATTCAATAAAACTTATGTACATAAGTTATTTAATACAACTTGTGTGCATAAGTTGTAATTTATATGTTATAAGTTAATACATATAAATTGCTACTAAAAAAATATTCAAAATATATTCAAGTGAGATCTAGTTTTGTTCGTCTCATTGTGTAGTAGAACACACCGGTGCGGACGAAATTTAAAATAGATACACCGTTGAGAAGTTATTGCAATTTGAAATAAATACTTTGCTTTTTTCGCACATGTCAGCACTGACATCATAGCATGCAAAACTAGCATGCAAAACCGGAAGGGGGAGGCACGCCAGTTAGAGACGCACGCGGTTGGACCGTTCGCTGGATTCATTAACGATCACTGGATTGGATTTGTGAGAGAAGACATATATTGGATACAAATTCTTTTAAAAAATATCTTTTGAAAATCTAGTTTCTATATGCAGTGTTCACATGATTTTGCAAGATAGAATTTATGCTATCTTCAACAACAACACCTAAAATAAAAGACTAATTCGTCCTTTAGGTAGCGCTACATGCAAAAGGTTCAACACATATTTGACATATTCTTCAACAACGAGACCCAAAAGAGAATCCTTTCTACAAATGAGTTTCCAGAGAGAATGACCATATTTGGGTTGTGCCTCTCAGGCAACCCAAAATAGGTCTCCCGTATAGGTACTCTGTTGAAGGCTGATTTTGGGTCTCTTGCTACCTCATTTGGGTTTGGGTGCCCATATGGATTCCTTGTTGGAGACTATCTTATATCATAGTTTTTGGGTTAGAAACGCTTAAGACTACAAAAGAAATTTCTAGTGGGAGTTTTTTTATTTCTATTTAAGTTCTGTTTGGTACAACTATTCTTTGTAGTTTTTTTTGTTTCGGCTCCCATACCTTCTCTACCGATGGAGCTGAAATTGATTTGGTGAAACGTTTAATAAAACAACTCATGATAGATAAAAAAGTAAAATATTCATAATATCTTTATTTTTTTCTCTTCTCCTATTTCTTCTTTTTCCTTCTCTCTTCCTTTTATCCGCCACCATGCCTCCATGCCTCTGGCTTCCTCCGCCCCCATGCCACAGCGGCTACGCTCTAGTGTCCCATAGCCCGGCGCCCTAACCGCACCTTGGCACCTTGCTTGTACGAAGGGGCGTTTCAAGGAAGACGCATGCGCAACATCGGAGGAGCTGAACGAAACTACATAGCGGGTCTCTTTTGGCTCTAGAGAGTGGAAATTGAGGGGTAGGGTGGAGTGGAGCACTAGCGAAGAACCCCATTTAGCAAAAAAAAAAAAAAATTGGAGAGTTTTACCACTATGCCATTATAAAAGTTTGTAATTATCTACGAGCCACTAAAAAATTCAACTGGTCACAGGTGCCATTGCTCTAGGCTTATTTGCCCTCCACGCCACTCCCGTCGTATATCCTGTTCGCTGGTTGGGGCTGGTACTGGTTTAGGCTGGCTGGTGCTGGTTTTTTTTAAGAGAAAAATATTATCGACTGGCTGGTTTGTTTAACGGTGATATGTGGGTCGTACAAGTCAAAATGTCTAAAATGCCCCTCTCTCTCTCTCAACCCTATCCTCTGTCCTGCACAGGCACGCTCAGACTCGGAGTCCAGCGCCGCCGCCGCCTTCGTCCCCTTCTCCTTGCTCTCGCTCTTCTCTGGTCACTGCAGCGCCGCCCGGACGTCCCCGCCGCGGCACGCGCCACGACTTACTGCAGCTCGCCGCGCCCAGGGCCGCGGTCGGGAGCCTCGCCGCCACGCCAAGCCGGGAGCCGACCCCGCCGTCCGCGACCTTGTCAAGCCGGCGCCGAGGCCGACGCGGTGGAGGTATAGCCGGCGGCGACGACGGCGATTGGTCGGCCAGGGCAGACGGCTTCGGCGTCGGGCTCGCCGTCACGCTCGTCCCCGTCTACATCTCCGACACGGCGATCCGGGGCCTCCTCAACACGCTGCCGCAGTTCACGGGTTCCTTCGGCATGTTCTTCTCCTACTGCATGATCTTCTACATGACGCTGGGCGACCACCCGAGCTGGCGCTTCATGCTCGGCCTCCTCTCCGTCGTGACGCTGCTCGGGAGCGTCCACGACGAATGCCCGAGTCCGGCGTATCCGGCGCTAGCGCCAGGGGCAGCACGCTCTTCCCAAACCTCGGCAGCATGCACTCGCCATGGACGTTGTGTGCACGCACGCGCCGCGCCTGCCGGGAGCCAGACTGCGCGTTCCTGGGCTCGCCGCCGCGCCGCACTACTGGGTCGTGCACAAGGTCCAGTACGTCGAAGCGCTCCACCTCTGCGTGCCGAAGATCGAGCTGCGTGCACATGTTCGAGCGAATGCCTGAACCATGGGCTGCCACCCGATATTATGGTGTCTGCTAATAGAGAAATTTGCTATTTCGCCATTACGGCTTCGCTCTTTTGCTATTCCACAACGTCCGTTTGCTGTTTTCAAATGCGATGCACCGCCAGAATACCTGGGACCAATATATATACCGTATTTTGATTTTATTTTTTTTTTCGTTATTTCCTTTCCTCTTTTACCCCTCACCCAGGCCCATCGGACGAAGGCGGCGCAGCGACGGCGCCCCCACCGCCGCCGACATGCCTGCCAGTGCACGACAGCCCTGGTATGGACCGCTTGGCGTACGCAATGAGCGCCCCCTCGATGACCTCAGGGCCGACGCCGTGCTCCTTCATGGCGGCAATGACACGGTCTTGCGGCGCTGGCGGTCGCCGTCCCTGGCGTCGTCGGCGATGGGCCAGCCGAAGAGCGCCGTGGGCGTGGACGCGGCGGCCTTGGCGGCGACGGCGTCCACGCAGCGCGACACGAGGCCGAGGTCGTCGGCGAGGGGGAGGAGGCCCTCGCAGGACTTGAGGGCGCGGATGGCGTCCCTGGGGTTCCTCAGGACGGTCTGCAATATGAACCGGTCGGCGCGGGAGACGAGGTTGTCTTCCGAGTGGTCGTCGGACATGCCGAGGCGCTCGGCGGCGCACCGCAGCAGCGCGGCTGTGGTCGGCGTGAGGTCGAGCTTGACGCCGTAGCAGAACTTGGCGGCCAACTCGAACGCCTCCGCGCCGCCGGGGAACTCCGGGAGGCGGATGCGGTGCACGTCCGCCTCCTCGTCCTCCTCCAGCACCACGTCCACTTCCTCCTCTCTGATCTCCCCCGCATCATCTTCCTGGTCGCCCCCTTTGCCCCTCCGGCTGGCCTCGCGTAAATCCTTGTTCGTGATGAGGTCGTGAAGCTTCTTGCTCCTCGACATTAACGGGAACTGCACGAAAGGCACCGGATTCAGCAAACTTTTGGGATCAAATCAAAGAGTGCCGAATTTTCCCACTTCTGACAGGTCGAGACTATGAAATGGGCCGCCCCAGCCAACTCACGACAGAGACATTGACAAGATTAGCATATGGAGATGGAACAGAGATTGAGATGCTCATTTTTTGTGAATCGATTGAAGGACCTGAGGCAAGATTCAACAACCTTGTGGAGATGGAATGTCATGCGCCCACCACGATCACTACATCGCTGGGCAATCCTGTGGTGCAGAACCTGACGAGCACAGACGCGCAGATCAGAGATTACACAACAACAAATCACCACACAGGCAAAAGGACAACGAGAGCAATTGCTTTGCTTGCCATGCTTGGCCTTTGGAGCTGGCCGCCGCCACCGGCGGCGCCGGCGCCGGCGGCGGTTGCGGCTGCGGCTGCTCCCGAGCCATCTCTCGCGTGTTCTTCCTCCTCCCCTGCATCGTCGAACGATCCTCTCAGGAACCGCACCAGGCAGGCATTCCTTGGAAGAAACAGCAGCCTGTGTCCGTGGGATTCAGGGAAGGGGAAGCTCGCTTCACTCGCAATAATGGTGTCCGTGGGATTCAGGGAAACGCTTCTGATGGTGATGTGTGAGGGGTAAAAGGGGAAAGGAAATAACAAAAAAAAATCAAAATCAAAATACGGTATATATATTGGTCTAGGGCATTCTGACGGTGCGTCGTGTTTGAAAATGGCAGACGGGCGAATCCCATTTACGGGATGGCAAAAGAGCGAAATCCACGTTTGATAATGGCGAAATAGCAATTTTCTCCTGCTAATACTAGGAGATGCCTGATGAGATTGTTCATGTTATCCTGGCTACCCAGGATGAGAAAAAAATTATATAATGTTTAAATAATAGTTTGGCTTTTTTTTTTAATTAGTCATGGGTACCGGGTAGAACAAAAAATGTTGCCGTCGGAATATGGTTGTTGTTTAATATGAGTAGCGAGATTTTTAAATTTGTGATGTTCAAAAACTAAAAGTTTTTGCAAATAATTTGAATATCAATAAAATTGGTGTTGATAAAAAATTATTCAATTTTGGTACCACGGAGTAGTACTAGAGCAAAGCGAAAAAATAAATAAAACTCTAACAGACTTGAGCGGGAGGAAAGGGAAGAAAATTAGAACTCTATAACTGACTTAATGGCAAAATTGTCATTTCATCGACCCATTTGACACCGCTAGAGCCAAAACTAGACGGAACGGAATAACGTGGAGGGCAAATAAGTTTGCAGCAGTGGCAACTGTGACCGCTCGAACTTTTTAATAGCCTATAGATAATTATAAACTTTTATAATGACACAAATGTAAAACTCTCAAAAAAAATTGTGCCAAGCAACTCTGGAGAGATGCTGGAGAAGCTATATCAAATGTGGCCTTAACGAGGTGGTGCATTAAAAAAATGATGGTGTGACACAGAAATTATAAGGAGGAAGAGAAAATGAGTTTTATCTAGATGATACACACACAATATTTTCTATGCATTGGAAACTGAGTGGAACTCCACCAAGAGTGTTTTCCCCACACGATACAAACTGACTGAAACTCTACTGGAAGCATTTCATATAATAAAATCATGTAATATTTAATATATAAGCCTATAAACTGTGAAATAAATTTGTTAGTTTTGTTTTATGTCACTCACACCTCACCCTTAGAATAGAAATAATGCAATAAAACCTACAACCCAGAACGCCCTTAGACTATCTCCAACAGCACAGACCTAAATCGGAGATCCATTCCATAGTTTAGGTCACGCACAACAAAAATATCACGCACCCAAAATTCGCATTCTCCAACAGCCTACCCAAAAGCACGTCCCTCTCTCCTCACTCTCTCCCCCTGCGTCGCCTGTTCCTCCCAACGCTGCCCCTCCCTCTCTCTCTATATACCCTGGTGCCGCCCGTCCCTCTCTCCCCTCCCTCGTTGAGCACGACGCCCCTCCGTCCTGGATCCGGCCGGCGGTGGCACCCCTCCTGGATCCGACGGTCGCGGACGAGGAGGAGCCCGGATCCCCGCTCCCCCACGGCCGTGCCCCACTCCCCGCCGACGAGCCCCGCGCCCCCAGGCGGACCTCGCCGCGGTCTGCCTGGCCGCGCCTCGCCGCGCCCCGCTCCTACGGGCCCACCACTACGACGCCAGAGATTTGCGTTGGTCTCTCTCAACGACGCAGATTTACGTTTCGGCAAGCTTCGTATGCAAAATGGGTGAGGTGTTTAGGTCATCTATTAAAGCGTTGTTTTTAGTAGGCAAAAATAAATGACCTATTTTATATTTGAGCCACGGTTTGCATGTTCTGTTGTTGGTAGAGACGCGGGTGTCATTTGGCACTCGCGAGTCGCGACACACCCAAGCGGGTGCGGGTGGGTGTGAGCCAGCCATTTGTTCTGCGGCCCGAAATGGGACGGCTTCCGGGACGCAAAGCAAACACGCCCCAAATCTCGCGGTCTCACCAGCGGGAAAACCAAAATCGAAACCCCACCTCACCAGAGTACCGGACACCGGCCAAACCCCACCTCTGGCCCCCCGGAGCCTCCAGGACCTGTGGCGACCGTCTATGGAGCGGATCCACGTAGCGGTGCGCTCGCGGCCGCTCCCCCCGGAGGACGCGCGGAGCAGCCCGTGGAGGATCTCGGGCAACACCATCGCTCACTCTGCGCAGTCCTCCACCCGCTTCGAGTTCGGTAAGAAGCCTCCGGCATCCGCCCTTTCGCTCCCCATTAGCTTCGCCTTCCGTCCGCTTGGGATTGCGGGGTCTCCTGATTTGTTGCGCTCGCCCTCGTTCTCGCAGACAGGATATTCGGCGAGGAGTGCCGCACTGCCGAGGTCTACGAGACTCGCACCAAGCAAATCGTCGACTCCGTGGTGCGAGGGTTCAATGGTAATCTCGGTTCTTCTTTTCGCTCTGGTTGTTGGTACCGTTTCCTTGGGCAAACAAGTTGGGTCCATTTGCATTTCAAAGGTATACTGTGTGTCTGTGTCAGGCTATTTGGTTTACTTGTGTCAGCCCCCGCTTGCTATATTCTTAATGGCCATTTTATCGCGGACTGTGTGCGGATAATCAGTGGAGACGCAACACGCCCCTGGAATTAAGTGCTCCGGCACTGTAATAAGCACGTTGATGCACTGTTATATGCTGACGATGGTTGATGAGAGGACGTAGCTCAGGTGAAGTACGTGCTTATTTTGTAGGATATGATGCTTCCATCACTGTAATCAGTGGTTGTCAGCATGCCCCAAACCAGCAACACCCCCTGGGATTAAGTGTTCAACGATCAGTTTGATGAAGACCCTTCCCTTGCCTTTATTTAACACGGAGCAGGCAAATTATCACCAATCAAACTGAGGCAGCAATAGGGGGAGGAGACCACTTGTTTCAAACCCTTATAAGGAGTAGAACAAAGACCAATCTTGCCATTGATATGATGCCTCTGCCAGTTTGCACCTGCCATAACCTACTTGTACTAGGTAGGATGAAATCCACATTCTCCACGATTTCGTCAAGAGCAGACCATTATTTCAAGTTTGAATTACATTGTCATGTTGGATTTTAATTTATAATAGTATTATGGCTACATTTTCATGAACCTAGATTTTTTCTAATGGAAGAACTGAGGTTGGTTCTAGTCTTGTAGGCTTCTAGCTGTCACTAGTCATTATATCTAGGATCCATGGGAAAGGCTCTGGTTTTCACTCACTCTAGCATTCTTTGTTCAACAAGTCGAAGGCTCTTTTTTTTATGCTCTGACTGGATGTTCTTATTAATCCCTTATTTCTTTCCTTTTTTGTGTGTGATTGTATCTGGTTTAATTAGTTGATTTCTTAGTTCTTCGCACAAATGAGTTTTCTCAATCACTCAGGCAATTTGATTTCGCTGAGTGTATATGCATTGGAATTAATTAATCTCATTCATATTGACAGGCACTGTTTTTGCATATGGTCAAACTAACAGTGGGAAGACTTTCACAATGAGAGGATCGGCTAATGAACCTGGAATAATACCGCTTGCAGTTCATGACTTATTCCAGCGTATTCAAGAGGTTAATTACACGAATCTCAATGTTCAATATCATTCTTTATTATGCTTACTTTGGCATACACTATGGGAATCAAGCAAGAGATATGTCAACTGCTGCATGCTGATACAGTGTTCATTTAGTTCCTTCTTAATCTGTTTATTGTATGATCTACTATGGAAAATATTTTGAATGTATTGTTCCTTTTTGGTATTAGGACTCGCTTAATGTGTTTTACAAAGGTTGTGTAGCATAGTCCTGGCCACCTTTTCTTTAATCATCTTACTTTCTGCATTATTATATTGAACCTTGGCTAGGGTTTTTATTCACATGCTGTGTATTCTATTTGACTCACTTGTTTCAGCTATTGTGTAGCATATGGACAGAGAATTTCTCGTGAGGATGTCCTATATGGAAATTTACAATGAAGATATTAATGACCTTCTTGTGCCAGAACATCGAAAATTGCAAATTCATGAGAGCATTGAGGTAAACAACCCATCTTTTCATGTGATATTGATCACCAACCATCTTTAAATGTAGTCTTATTGTTACATGCTGGTACTTTTGATTGAAGAAAGGGATCTTTGTTGCTGGTTTAAAAGAAGAAATTGTTACATGCGCGGAACAGGTCATGGATTTCATGTCTTTTGGAGAATGTAAGCCTTCTTGAATGTTTGCTGGCTCAGTTACTGTATAGTTTATTCTTAATAAACTGCTAGCACAACTGCAGCCCACCGGCATATCGGGGAGACAAACATGAATCTTTACAGCAGTCGTTCTCACACTATATTTCGTATGGTAAGCTTGTATTCTGTATCATTTTCCACTGGATCACAATTCTGATTATTATTCTGCTAAATGTTCAGGTAATCGAGAGCAGAGAAAAAAGTGACGACAATGAAGCTGAAGATTCTTGTGATGCTGTACGAGTATCTGTTTTGGTACGTGCAATTCTCCCCTCTTAATTGCTACTCTCTCCCACAGATAATAATTTGTTTTTTATTGGAATACATGCAGTTTATCCTTAAAATTTTGCTTGTCCATACTGTTATGAATATTTCAGATTGAGTAACGGTATTTGTAGATATGTTTTGAATAATGCTCGTTAGTTCCTATGTTCATATTTATTTGATGTCTTAGGCTTGTTCACAGTTAACTTAAAAAAGCATAAAATGAGTAGCTGAGCACAAACCTAAAAGTTTGTCTCTCTTTCTAGTTTCTGCCTTGTATCAGTGAACAGGGAGATGGATATCTTGTAAAATGTTCCAAAAACCCAGACTATTCTGGAAAACGAACCATGTCTATCCTTGAGTTGGTACAACATCAACTGAAATGAACACTTCTGTAAACCCTGAAATTTCAACTTCAAATTTGCTTTTTAGGGACCATTGTCCGAAACGTCACTTATTTGTGAGTGAGGCGAGTACTTATCCAACTATTGATGTATGAGATTCAGATTTTCATTTTGCTTCTACTTATGTTAATAATGTACATTTCAGAACCTTGTTGACTTAGCTGGCTCAGAACGCGCTGCAAAGACTGGTGCAGAGGGTGTGAGACTTAAGGAGGGTTCTCATATTAACAAAAGTCTCATGACTCTTGGTACGGTCATAAAGAAACTTAGTGAAGGCATTGAGGGTCAAGGGTAAGCTATTAACTTTTTGACTGGCGACCCTACCTGTTCTAATATTTTTCATTACTACTTTAGTAATGAATTTCATTTGCAGGGGACATGTGCCATACCGAGATAGTAAACTGACAAGGATATTACAGCCTGCTCTGGGTGGAAATTCTAACACAGCTATCATCTGCAATATAACACTTGCACAGGTACTCCATATTTCTTTACCTGCTGTGTTTTGGATGATGGAAGTAGAATTGTATCGCTTGTCCCATTTCTGCAAAGTTATATACTGAATTATAAAGTACTGAAGCTTCTTTATCATATATTTGTAGTATGTTTTGCTTATTGATTGATGTTTTGTTGTGGACATTAAGTTAAAAGGTGTCACTATCTTTTCTTTTGTACATTTTCATGTCCAGGTAATAACCCAAAGTAGTTATTTTGAATTTCTGTCTTTCAAATCAATTGTTTCATTGCTTTGTAAAATCACGTGCCATACAGAAGCAAAAAATTAGTCACTCAACGTGCCATTGGGCAACAACAAAGAACAAAAAATAGTCTTAGAACTGATACTTTTGTTATTTGTGTTTTGATAAACTATTTATTTTATATTTTTGTAGGTCCACGCTGATGAGACAAAAAGCAGTTTGCAATTTGCGAGTAGAGCATTACGTGTAACAAATTGTGCATGCGTTAATGAGGTATTAACACGTTTCTGTTGCCCACTAGATTACCGTTTCTATTCATCTTGCTATAATTGCATAAATCCTTACATTATATATGTTTGCAGATTTTGACAGATGCTGCATTATTAAAACGCCAAAGGAAAGAAATAGAAGAGCTTCGAGCAAAACTTAGAGTACGTATTAAAAAATGTTTCTTATAAGCAATAAATCCGTACTGCTTTAGAATTGAAACTTGCATTCCTTCTGCCTTAGAAATCTCAAAGTGATCATTGGGAGGAAGAAATTCTGAATCTGCGGAACACACTACTGCAGGTTGCTTTGTCAAGTGTTTCTTATTTCTATCCAGTGATTCATGACTATGTACATAATGTAATCTGGTAATTATTTTTTAGAGTGAATTGGAAAAGGAAAGAATAGCTTTAGAGTTGGAGGAGGAAAAGAAAGCTAAAGAGCAGCGTGACAGGCGCTTGATTGAACAGGCAAAGAAAATTGAAAATCTTAGTTCACTGGTTTTAAATTCAGACAGAGATGACAGGAGTACTGCTTTTAGTAAGGTTAGTATGTAACAGTCGTACAAGGCATATGAACTACGTGGTTGCTCATTGGTTCTTTCTTCTAGTTTTTCTCCATAGGTACTTTCTTTTCTGCTGATATCTTGAAGTAAAATCTGTTTAGACTTTGAACTTTACAGAAATGTCCATAAGATGTGTGCTTTTAAACAGAGGGCCAACAATGTTTGTACTCTTTTAGTCTACTAATAGCTTTTTTCTTCTTTTCTTCCTTGAACAGAACAAAAGAAGGGTAACATGGTGTCCTGGACCAAATGCAAGGCAATTTGGTATTGAGGTATCATTGTAAATTTGTAAGAATGCTTTTCAATAAGTTCAACTTGGCATTCTAAAAGTATACCAGCGCATCATTTGTTTTTGGATGGCTGTGGAACATTGTTGGTGCATTGATTCCTTATCATAATTTAAATGTTAGTCAGAAAAGTTTCACCCAAAATATTTGTCTAGAAGTTTTTCCTCCTGTGAGTGCTTTTGCTTTTCATCCTTTCTCTTAGGGTGGGTGCGTGGTGGTGTCGTTTTGCAGGGTGTTTATACGGTTTGCTGCACATGCCATAATATATATTCATATTCTGTTTACTTTGTATTCATATCTTCTGTCAAATTGTGAGAGTATTGAAATTTACACATAAGATGTGTTCTGAGTATTTCTACATAATACCCAGGATTTAGGATCTGTCCAGGAAGGCTCTACAAGCAGCACAATTAGAAATGAACAGGATATGGGAATGCCACCACTTTTTGAAGAGTTAATGCAAGAAAGTAATGATGAGCCTTGTGCTAATGCTTACTCATCTGGTGACGTGTCCAAAGACAGTGAAGATGTCTCTCTTCCTGACTCGCATGCTTTGCTGCATGTTACCAACCGAAGAAAGCCAAATGCAGTGGTGAGATGTTGTTACTTCTTAGTGTTAAGTTGTTGGCCTTCTATAAATACAAGATAATCCAAATTTTTTCTCTCTCTCTAAAAAATATTTTGCAACTTTTTAGCTACATATCTGACTGCTGAGTATGTGCTTTTGCCAGAAAAAATCAGATCAAGAGCAATTCTGGGGGAGAGCTGGTGAACTATTAATACCCCAGGACCCCTGTGATGGGAATGATGCTCTACGTCACAAAAACACTGTTCCTTGTGTAGTTAGTAGCTTATCTGCTCGAGAATCTGAAGCCATTCTTGTCATCAAACAACTTCAAGATCAGGTACTAATTTCCCCCCTAGTATCATCCTATTCTGGAATGGAAAAACAAACAGTTAACTAATTGAATATATCCCAAGCAGATCAAGCTGTTGGAGGCAGAGAAGAGTTCTATCCAAACTAATTTGGATGCTGTTCTTGAGCTGGCAACTCAACAGAAGGTTTCATTTAATGAGGAGTATGAAGAAGTGAGTTATGTTAAACAGAAAGTATCCAACTTGGTGACTGATGTGTACTGCAAACTAGTTCCATTATCATTTAGAAGCCATTTATATATTTTATAAGAACCAATTTTGTCTATTCCATGGGATTATGATATTTCTCTATACTTTTGCTGGAGAAGATTAAAATCAAGAGTTAACCTTTTAAAAGGCTGTGATTTATTTACTTTTGCTATCTCTTCAGCGCTTCTTACACAATTACCATGAGTTGTCCTCATCTTTACCCATCCTGTGCAAAAGGTTGAATATCTGAAGCAAAGGAATCAAATGGCTGTTTTGAATCACAATTTGTTAGTCGAGTGCCTAAGTACAATTTACGTAGCTTAGATTATCATACAACTCATAATTTGTGAGTTTTAAAATGCAAAATTAACATTCTCTCTCTCTCTCTCTTTTCTAATCCAACAGAAGTACAAAACAAGGTTTTAGGTAATTAGGCTGTAGTTATCGAATCTGATTTTCCTTATGCCCAGGATCCAATTAACCCCTAAGATTGTTAGTTTGGCATCTTAGTCGTCATCAGCCAAAACTCCTAAGATTGTTAGTTTGGCATCTTAGTCGTCATCAGTCATCACCCAGATCCAGCAGATTAAACATGGATACATGACGCTATCATCTATGATCAATCTAATTTAAACTCCATATACTTTTCTGAGTTGCATTTACCTTCGCATTTTTCATTCCAATATAGTAGAGAACTAGAGATATAAAAGGGCATGCCTAGTGCTGAAAGCTCCCACACATGGTGGCGTGAAGGGATTTTCTATACAACCTTACCCTTGCTTAATTCTGGAAGGAGGTTGGTTTGAACCTAGGACCTCCAAAGCCACAAGTGGAGAAACGCTACACTGTGCTAGGCCCACCCTTAGCTACGAATGTCACAAGATCTGTAAACTATGTTGCCATCACCTTTCTTGTTATCTAAAACTAGCAAACATGCCCGTGCGTTGCACGTAACCCAATACGTATTTGAATCGGACTTTGTGTCATCGTTGGACGCGAGTTGTTCTAACTCGTATGAGCACGAGTCATGAATCTGGGTCACATACAGGATATGGAGGGCGCAAGGGCAGTTATAATGTTTTGCCCTAGGGTACATATGGGAACTCGATATCTGACATTCTGACCTTAATTGGAGTTATTTATTAGACTTCTTGCTTCATTTTATTGTTCTACCTTGCATTAGCATTATATGTTATCAACAAGCTATGCTCCATACAACACATTGATTTAACATGTCACTTTTATTAATGCTGTATTTGTGGTATTCCACATTGAACTCCTAATGAGGTGTTGCTCTTGTGTGTCCCCCTTGCACTATATATATGCCCTCTGGGTTGTGCTCAATACAACATTCAACTCAAGATGTCACGCTCTAAAAAAATCCTTTAGAAAATTCTACCTTCATTATTTTTCCAAGATTGCAAATTTGTTCTTCACCTTGAAGCTGTTGTTACATTCCATATGTTATTTTCCTATTTGCAGCTTCAGCAGATCGCTCTGGCTGCAGAAGTGCAAACAAAAGTTGCTAATGAGAACCTGTCCACACTATCTGCTACTGTAAACTCCAAACAGGTACCCTGATACCCTCTTCCAGTTACATTGCATTCTCTTCTCTTTTTTTTTTAAAAAAGAAAGAAATCATAGCTAGCATTTAGTTTGTTTCCATCTTCCTGCAACCATTTCATGTTATAGCCTGATTTATTAACTTGACTGGGTACACATATCTTTTTTTTGGCAACTTCCAGGAACTAGCCTATGAATTCCTCAGTAATTTATTGACGGAGACTCAAGGAATAAATGTGGAGATGGATCAGTGGAGAAACTCAATTGACGTTGCTCTTTCTTTTATTGACGAACTCTGTCAGAATCTCTGCATTATGGCACAAGGAATTCGTGTATGGTTTCTCATTTTGCATGATAGCATCTCTAGATTGGACTTTGAAAAATCATGCCGTTTAGTTAATTTGGCTGTTTTATTCGATATTCAGAATTGAGTGTCAGCAAGCATTTTATTTTGGCAACATATCAGGTGCAAACCAACCAACCTGTGCAAACTTGGAAACTACCAATCAGGACCATTAGATGCTGATCCAATGGATGGGGTGAGAGGTGGGATTTTTTTGCGCTTAAGCCCCCCACCCGCTGGCCTTTTTTTTGCGCTTAAGCCCCCTCACCCCATCCATTGGATCAACATCTAGTGGTCCTGATTGGTAGTTTCCAAGTTTGCACAGGTTGGTTGGTTTGCACCTGATACGTTGCCTTTTATTTTAATCCATTATAAACATTAGCTCGGAGATTCTAGTCATGCTTCAGCAGTGGAAATGCTCAATCTGGTTTCCCCTAGTTTTCACCTGGACACTAGTATCCTACTACTGCGAAGAAATATAGTGTGAATTGCTACCATGATCTTTGAGGGTTGTGAACCAAGTGCATTGCTATGTTAAATTTATAAGCTTGGAAAAATACTACATGCAGTCTGGTGAAAATGTCTCATCAATGGAACACTCTGTCATGCTAATTATTGATCATGTAGAATTGTAGATTACTAGATTTGCATATGCTTAGTGTACTACTGCATTTATTTAACTGTCTGAACATAGTTAACAACTTCCCATCTTACTGCACATATACAATTGATGTGTAATTTGGGTTTCCATAGGAAGTAAAGCACTCTGCTCATGAAGATAGTGCACGGTCCGGTTCTGTGATCAGGGACTATGAGAAACTGTCAACCTGTTTGATGGACAAAGTTTGCAAACTTGAATTGGAGAAGGTATTTTAAAATTCCTTTTTTCCTAAAGCGCTTAAGTTCTAAGCAGTTCGTTTTTTTCCAATGTTACTCTGATTTGAGCGCAGAAACTATTGGAGGAACAGTCCCAAGATCAACAAAATGAGATTTATAAGCTGAAGGTCAATCTGGAAAGCTGTGAGAAGGCCTTAGATGTTTGTCACTGGCTAAGTTCTTTTCAGTGATTTAATTCTTAGTTTCTATCACCTGATATATAACTTCATTACCCGTTCACTAAAATATTTTACTTATACTCAGGACTGTACTCTTCAACATGAACTGGAGAAGGATGCCATTCTCTTAGAGCTCCTAAACCTCCAGAAGGAAGTATCAATCTTGTCATCATCTTCTTTGATGAAAGAAAAGGAATCTATCCGAAAGGAACTTGATAGAACTAAAACAAAGTTAAGAGAGACCGAGAACAAACTTAAGAATTCCATTCAGGAGAAAATAAAACTTCAGGTTACCAACAGGCAACATGCCATTGTTATTATATAAATTTTATTGCCACTTAAAAACCAGCTGTTTCTGACGTATAGTTGATACATGTTCTTTTACCAGAGTGAAAAAGCAGAGGCCCACAAAGAAATTAAGAAATTGCAAAGCCAGAGAACTTTGCTTGAACGTGATTTACGGAAACGCGATTCAGCTACTGTTGACAAAAGGCATGAGCTGAATTCCATGCCACATGAACTTTCTGGAGCTTTTGAGCACATGCAGGTATGTGCTATTCTTTGCAAACCCCACATTTTTCTAGGAACTACTGGGCTGCTGTTTGCAGCAGTTTGGTGTACATATTGGGGTCTTGGTCTGGCATTGCTATCAGTTACAGGTCCATTTTCATATATCACTATAGATGTTTAAGACTTGTAATTTTTCCTTTGAGATCATCTCTACTGGACAACCGAGCAATAGCTTGGCTGGTAGAGCCTCTAGTTGATTGGGCGCCCACCTGGGGTCGAACCCAGGCGCTCACATTTTGTGTGGATAATTCCCCAAGGGTTTGGTACCCCCTCTCCCTTTCTTTGCCTTAAAGAGAGGGGGAGCACAGAGTCCATAAAGAGATAGACCTTTATGACCAAGAATCTTATTTCTCTTTTTTCCTTTTAATATTCAGGAGGACTACCAAAATCTTGAGATGCATGCTTTTGATATGGATGCGGAAATTTCTTCTTTACAAGAAGCTCTAGTCACTTCAATTGCTGAAAAGGACGAAGCATTGTCTAAAGTAGAGCTTATGACATCTGAACTAGAAGATCTTGCGAATAAACTGAACTCAACGGAATCAGAAAGAAACTCCTTTAGCAATGAGATCGCACTCTTGGTATACATAACATGTCTTTGCAAATATATTTGATCTTATTGGTTCTTGTGCATCCATTTTTTCTACTCATTTTTTTCAATCTTTTTGTAATGCAGACCGAAAAGTTAAATGCATCCGAATCTACCCTTAAAAGTTTGGAGGCTTCTCTCAATTCTGTATCAAGGGAAAAGGAAGATTTGGGAATGGTAAAACTCTATACTTTTATCCATTTATATGTTATGTGAAATAATTTCATTTTCTAAAATGAATGCAGCAACTTACTGATGCCCTTTTGGACATGGAATCTGAAAGATCAATTTGGACAGCAAAGGAGAAAGAATACCTAGAAGCTAATCATAGATTGAACATCTGCCTTGATGAGAACCTCAAACTTTCAGAAGATTTGATAAAGGTACCTTTGATAGGGTTGCATGTTTTAGTTCCCCTAATGTACGCATATACCATGTCGATTTTGCCTATCTTGGCATTGCCCGGAAGCTTTCCATAGATGCCTTATTGTAGAAGGTAGAGAATCACCACACACACCAATGTGGGTGGGGAGCCTTTCATATATATAGCCAATAGGCATACATGGAAGTTACATACATGGGAAGCTATTTCCTGTACAAGGAAACTATCCTAGGCTATACATGGCAGCTAGCCTATCTAGGGAAACACCAATCAAACGCTAATTGATCTAGATATATACATATCCTAATACTTATGTTGAATGTGATTCCATGTTATTTTTCACTAATAATAGCATTGCCAATATGGTCTACGGAGGGGCTTTGGGTTTAATATATGTATTCTATACTATTTTGCCACTGATAATCCAAAGAACTTATGTATTAAGTGATATATTGTAACACACTACTAGGTGAGGCAAGAGCTAGGGTGTTGTAGAGAAGAGTGCAAAACTCTAGAGGATAAACTGGCGCTTTCCATGGAGATTGACATGAATGAGAAAGGAATGAAATGCAGGTCAGTCTTTTCATTGAGCCTTTTCCATCAAGGCATCTGTGTGTCTCTGCGCTTTCAGTGAGGATTAGTAACATTTTATGTATGAGCTTGTACCTAGGATGTTTCTAATGTCTTTGTTTCATCATTTTTTAACATGAATCAAGGAAGGTTTCTGAGTTTTAGAAAAAAAGCCCTGTTAATGGGAGGTGCTTAACAATCAAGGCTGTTCCAAAAGAGATAAGAAAAGGACTGAATTCACTCATCATTCTGGTTGCTTGGGACTTGCGAGTTGTGGAATCATAGGAATGCTCGTGTCTTTTAGGGTGCTAGTCATTGTGTTCAAATAGTTTTAGCTGTAGTTTCTGAAGAGTGTTTATTGTGGTGTTGGGCTGGAGCTAAAGGCTCTGCCTCTCCTCTATTGTTTTTACTCTCTTCTTAATGAAATTACACGCAGCTCTCCTGCGTTGTTCTAGGAAAAAATGGGAGGTACTTTCAAATCAAAATATATAAGAACTTGGTAGGGCCTGTTCGCTTGAACTTATCAGCCGACTTATCAGCTAGAATCTACAGTATTTTTCTCTCACAACAAAACAGCTTCAGCCGGCTTATCAGCCGGTTTTAATACCAGCCGAACAATACATTTTTTCATCAAAACTGTACATTTTTTATTGACGTGCTCTGAGTTATTGGGCATTATTTTAAATGTTTCGAGATAATTTTAGAAGTCACAAACAATCAGTGGGTTTATAAGAAATTTTAATATGTTTGCAAGTCAATCAATAACTGGTTCTGGACAAGAAGTGCATATTTAACGTAATTGGTCTAGTAGAAAAGAGTGTGTTTCTTTAGATGAAAGAGTGTTTGCATTGCTTCACTTTTTGTTTACAATAGAAATGTCTCATGCATCAGCGGGGCTTGTAAAGAATCCGGTCAATTTTTGGAGAAAGGAAGAACAATATCTGGTGCTGTGTGTGAAAATGTAAGTTTTATATTATCTGTTTATTTTGCTCTACTTTTCTTTGGGGCTTCAAAGTTTTCAAGCACTATGAGACATGGAATATATTGGGATATCTCTAGATATGGTAGACTAAGATCGTTTGTAACCCTGACTTGCCTTATCTCTAAGATAGGCTACTTCCCCCCTAAGCAATGTACTATATAATCTGCATATGAGGCTCAGCTATATACAACCAACAATTCCACCAAATCTATTCTGCAAAACCAATTTGTTTTTCCCATCTCCTGCGTGTCATTGTATTAAGAGAGATTCAATAATAATCACTGAGGTGCTATTTTGTTTTCAGTATTCCCAAATTAACGACAATTGACCACATTTTCTCGCTAATACTGTTGGCTATACAACTCGAACGTCACTTATTGGGCTTTTCTATACTAAATGCTACAGTTATTTTTTCCAAGGAGTGCAAATTTTGCTAGGTTTCTTTGTAGATTTCTATTGACTCCAGTTTGAACAGGAGCTTCACAAACAACTATTGATGATTACTGAAGAGCGCAATTGTTTACTCTCTGAGACACAGCAGCTGAGATTCTTGGTTGCTGAAGCAGAGGTTTTGAAAGAGAATTGTGACAGAAAGGCAAGTTAGCTTTATTTTTTACTAACCACAGGTTACCTCAGTAATACTAACTTGTTTTTTCTGTTGCTTTTTCTTTATGTAGTTAATACATGCCAAAGATACAATAGATGAGTTGAGCTCTAGGATATCTGTCATGGAAGTCAATATGAAAAATGTAAGCACTGTTTAACTCATTGTTGTCTGCTTCTCCCTCCATTCCAAACTTAGGGAAGTTTGACTTAGGAAAAAACTAAAATGTCCTACATTTTGGAACAAAGGGAATATTAATTAAGGTTATAAGGAGTTTTGATTTCCTTTAATGTTGCAGGTTGCTTTGTGTGTTTATCATTGCAATGCATTTTAACAATAAATTCATAGCACGTGCAAGATTCAATGAGATCCTGTAAAAAGAGCATCTCCATGTTTTATTGCTCGTCACATTTTTATAATAGCACGCAAGTGTTTTTTTACATATCTTCAAATACTATCTTTATTAGCCGAACATAGAGTTCTGAACATGAAGATATTAATTTTGGATCAAACTTTAAATTGTTTTACCGAGATCTTTTTAAAATGTAGTTTTTTATTTGTATAATTTCCAAAAGAACTTAAATCACATTTCCCAGGAATACTTCTAAAAAATTTCGCATCGCATTTAACCTAAAGGGAGTGAATGCATTAGAAATAGTGAATCGCATGCACAATCAATTCGACCCAACAGCCTAAGCTGATGAGGAAGGTGTCCAATTCAAACATGGAAATGGGAGTTGGCTTAAGCTGATGAGGAAGGTGGCCAATTCAAACATGGAAATAGGAGTTGGCTACAGTTAACTTATTTAATTGTGTTTGGCCCAGAACTGCTGAACTCTTGATATTGTATTGAGTTGCATGCACGAGCAGTTCAACCCAAAAGCCGAAGGTCCGATGGGGAAAGTGGTCAATTCATTTTATATTTCAACAAGAAAGGCACGCAACCGTGGATTCATTTTATATATTTCAACAAGAAAGACACCCAACAGTGGATTCCTATCTATTAATAGAATGACATAGTTCTCCTGTATTTTTTTAAGAAAAAAACTCTGTCGCATCTTGCTAAACTTCAAAAACAGTTTCCTGCGTTGTAGTTTCCGTAACTGGCCAGTTATGTGGAAGTGCAAATTTCATAGCATGCTCGTGTGTGCAGGATGCTGCGGCTAATAACAAAGAGAAGACAAAGCTTCGCATGGTGATTCGATGGCTGCGCCCACAACTTGACGCCCATCGTGGTCGGCTCAAAGAAGCGATGGATGAGATGAAGACCATGGATGCCAAATACCAAGAAGCAAGCACCAAGCTGAAGAAGGAGCTTTCTCAGAATGCTCGCGAAGTCCTGAGGTTGAGAGGGATGCTTAAAGAATTACAGTGCGCATCAAACTGAGCTTATAAATTTCTCATATCTATTTTTTCAAAAAAAAAAAAGTTCTCATGTCTTTTGCGTAGCTGATAGCTCACGTAGCAGAAATGCAAATATGTCGTCGGCCCAATGGAAGCACCCGCTGTTGCGTTTGTGGGCTTCGGGCCTTCCTAGCCTAGTACCGTGGTACACTGGTTTTCTTTGCAGGGTGCGGTTCCACGCGTCAGATACTTCTAATTCCAAAGCGCTAGCGCTACTGTAAAGAATCCTGATGTACAGTAGTGCTTTGCTAGGAGTACAATGATACCAGTAGAGTGATATATGGGTGCATGTTGCTGTCCAAAGTGTACCTTTTCTTTCTGATTAGTCCATAGTGTGCCAACTATGATAAGTAGCAGGAAGATTGATTTCTGGATTGTATTGAGTTTTCTAGAGGTTAAGCGACCATACGAGTTGGACGTTGATGAACCAAAAAAAAAACTAGAGTTATGCATCCATCCAGATGTCTTGCACCGAGGCTCGAGGCTCATCTCGCATAGATCAGCCCTTGAGTCTTGACTTGAGTAATCAGCAGAAATGCGGATCTTGTATTTGTTTGCCAGTGCCAATGAAATTATCGTCCTAGCAGCTAAAGGTCAGAGCAGGCGAGTGGTACTGAGTATCAATCATTCTGAAGGAGGGTGTTAGCCAGATACCCAAAGCAAAGCTGCATTTCAATGTGAAGCTGTCTTGGTATTATAGGACTATCTGGTAGGATTAGAAAGCTGGTTGGAAATCATTTACTGTTCATACTGTAATTTTATGAGAGAAAAACACTGTTCTGACTGGGGAAAAAAACGAACCAGCCAGCCGAAAACGACCAGCTGAACACGGCCTAGTTCCATCTTGACCGACGATGATGAAACTGCACTCTCCGTCCGTTGTGTCCCATTGCCAGTCTTGGGAGCAAGGCACGAGCCTATTCGCTGGTTGGTTTTTGGGCTGATAAATTGCGAGAGAAAAACACTGTTGACTGACTGATAAGCTCGGCTGGACTGAAATGGGCACTGTTCAAGCTGGATTTTACTGTTCGTGTTGGAATTTTGTGAGAAAAAAATACTGCTCCGGTTGGAAAAAAAAAACGAACCAGCCAGCCGAAAACGACCTGCCGAACACGGCCCAGGTCCATCTTGACCGACGATGATGAAACTGCACTCTTCATTCGTTGTGTCCCATTGCCAGTCTTGGGAGCAGAGCGTGAGCTTATTCGCTGGTTAGTTTCTAGACTGATAAGGCCGGCTGATACTAGTTTATTGTGAGAGAAAAACACTGTTGGCTGGCTGATAAGTCCTGACGAGAGTGTTCGGCTGGACTGAAATAGGACTGTTCATGCAGGATTTTACTGTTCATGCTAGAATTTTGTGAGAGAAAAACACTGCTCCGGCTGAAGAAAAAAAAAATGAACCAGCCAGCTAAAAACAACCAGCCGAACACGGCCTACGTGGGACTGCTTGCTGAGGGCGCGTTTAGATCCAATTTTTTTTAGGTTTTGGCTACTGTAGCACTTTCGTTTGTATTTGGCAATTAGTGTCTAATTATGGATTAATTAGGTTTGAAAGTTTCGTCTCGTGATTTCTCACCCAACTGTGCAATTAGTTTTTTTTTCGTCTACATTTAGTACTCTATGCATGTGCCGTAAGATTCGATGTGATAGATACTGCGCAAAATTTTTTGGGTTTTGGGAGGAAGTAAACAGGCCCTGAGTTGCTGTGCTGGTGCTGGTTGGTGGTTCTCAGTTTCTCACAGTAGCGTATAGTACTATAGACTGTTCGGCTGGTATTAAAATCGACTTAGCTGGCTGAAGCTGTTTTATTGTAAGAGAAAAATACTGTAGATTCTAGCTGATAAGCCGGCTGATAAATTTCAGCGATCAAGCCCTACATAGTAGGCATTGCTCTACCAGTTGTCCAGTGCAACGACACGGAGTGTCAACGAAAAAGCAAAACGTACCGATACTCATAACTAACGGGGTTAGGGACACAAACCCAATGGTGAAGGAACCCATCGATCAATGATGACTGAAATTTTGCGAGATTCTAAGGCAACGATCCAATCCAAGTGGGTGCCACTGCGATGCAGGCATTGATTGCGCATGATGCAACGGCAGGCTCCCTCTCGTCTTCCAGGAACCCGAGGATCCCGTGAAGACGACGATCATGAGCCGCCGCGAGGACCATCGATCGGTCTGGCGTCGAGTTCGAGCCCTAGCTTGACCGCCCCGGCGACCGGAGTAGTAGTAGTAGTAACAAGTTTCGCGCCGGCCCGGCCGGCAATGATTCGCTGTGGCGAGGCCGGTGTTGGACTCTGTTCCTTCCCCGAGGCAAGACGAAATCATGCGGACGCAAGCACGCAGGTCGCGACTCGCTTGGCGACGGTGATCCTGATGATCCAAAGGGACGGACGGACACGGCACGGGACACGGACTTTGGTTTGGTCGCCTGCCCCGTCCCAGAATGCCCCCGATCCTCCACCCCGTGACATGCGGCACTGTGCAGACCAGGGTTCAAAATTTCGACGAAATTTCGATCGAATTTCACGAAATTCGGTAATTTCGATGGTGGCCGAAAAAAACTCGAATTTTTTAATACACTAATACATGTGCTATATAACTCTAATCTTATATTTTTCTATTGTTTATATTGTATATTCTTCTATTTAATAGATATGTAGTCATAAATCATACTAATATTTGTTTAGATCCAATTTTTTTTAGAAAAAAATATTTCATATGCTAATCTCTAAAAAAATTTCGGTGAAATTTCAGCTGAATTTCACGAAATTCGGTAACTTCGGGGGTGGTCGAAATTTTGGCGATACCAAAATTAAAAACCTTGGTGCAGACTGCAGAGCTCCAAGCCCGCGCGCGCGGATACTACAGAGTACTCCTACACACGCAGACACGCCGATCCGAGACATGCATCCACCGATGCACGTCGATCGGCTGTAGACGCAGACGCACGCACGGCGTGACAGCTTGCATGAGCGGATGAGCCCGTGCTGACAAGCAAGTCTCGACACTCGACAGAGGAGGTCGACGGGTCCCCGGGCGGCTCCGCCTGCCCGGTCCACACTCCACGGTCTACACCGCACCGCACGTGTGAGCACAGCGCCGACCGCCGGCGACGGACACCTCCCACCCACTGCATGCATGATCAAGCTGCACTACCTGAAAACTCGACTGTAGATCGATAGCCTGTTCGCTTGTCTCGTATACGATCGTGGATTATAAGTTGAAATATTATTTTTCTCTCACATAAAATCAGCCAGCAATAAATAATCCACGATCGCTTTACGGCCTGCCGAACAGGCTGACTCAGGTGTCCGATCGGCTAGTGGGCGTCGTGGTGGTGTCGCCGTGACCAGCTCTGTTCTACAGTACGTACAGATGGGCTCAAGCCCGACTTGAAATCAGAGAGGCACTAATGCGTGCTTTTTTTTCCTTTTCAGTTTGGAGTTTTGGATCCCCTTTCGAAATGCAGAAAATGTTTTTCAGTTTCGTTAAAGCAGAAACGACGATCCCCTGCCAATGGACTGTAGTTACAGTGCGTGTGGGGGCAACATTCTGCTGGCACGTCGCCCATATCGGAGCCTAGATTCTAGAGGTGGCGGCCACACAGGCTGGTGAGGTCCCCGGCCGGCCGGCCGGCTTGCGTTGCCGGCGTGATCAAGCAGGACTGCAGGGTCCCGTCAATGTCCATCCAACAGTTCTTTTCCTTCCCATGGGCATGGATCATGGTGGAGCCTGTCCGGCCGTCCCCGTCCAAGCGGCCGGGACGCGTGCGTGACCACCAACCAGCGTCGGTTTCTGCTTGTCCCGGCTGTAAACCCACAGCAAGCCAGCTCCTACGATCTAGCTAGCGGACCTGCTGCATGCATGATGTGGTGTTCAACACAAGCCGGCCACGCTTTAGGGTAGCATACTAGCATATAGGAGGACATCGATCGATGTGTGTGGTGTGGGCTAGAGGGGCAGAGCTTTTACTGGGCACAACCGCACAAGTGCCCGCTGTCGTCGCTCTCCGTCTAGTACAATTCTAGTACATGCAAGTTGAGCAGGAGGCCGCCGGTCTCTAGCTAGGGTTAGGTCGCCATGTCTGAGACACAGCACCTTTGTGCTAGTAGGAGTAGTAGCTACTAGCTTCCTCAGTCACCCCATGGCCCATGCAGTGCGGCTGGCCTGATGTGCCACTTCAAGATTCGGTTGGAACGGCAGGGAAAAGATGGTGGGCCTAGCTGGCTCTGTTAGGGCATGTTTAGATTCCAAAAATTTTTGCGCAGTATCCGTCACATTGAATTTTACGGCACATGCATAGAGTACTAAATGTAGACAAAAAAAAAAACTAATTGCACAGTTTGTGTAAGAAATCACAAGACGAAACTTTTGAACCTAATTAGTCCATAATTAGACACTAATTATTAAATACAAACGAAATGCTACAGTGAGCCAAAATACAAAATTTTTTTGATCTAAGCGGGGCCTTAGCTAAAACATGAGAGGTAATATCAGAGGTAATACTGCATTAATTCTCCGTTAGTATCTTTTCTAATCGATCAGGACGCCGGATAATCTCAGATGAATCTTGTCTGAATTCCACATGAAAAATCTCACAAATTCGGCGGTGTTCAAAATTAAATGGGAGGGTCCTGCAGTGAGGTTTGTATTAGTGGTTGAGTTTTAATTATATCAATATGCACAGGAAAGGTGAAAATCTCAGTGAATAATGCGCATGCAGTAGCTAGTTATTCCTTTTAATAAACATACCGAGCTGGCTCTTGAAAACATTTTATTGGCTCGCTACCGCCCGGACGTCCGGACGTCCAGATGGACGGAGTGTCCGGATGCCCACGCTTGCAGCCATTTCCCACGCCGAATCACGCGCCCACACAGGGCCCGTGTTGTCCCAAACGTCATTAGTATGGAGAAGAGAGGGAGGGGGTGGCGGATACCCAGCCAACGTCGGGAGGAGGAGACACCGAGGCGAGGA